TTGTATGAGCCCCTAATAAAATGTTTAAAAAAATACATATATCACTAAGTGGTATTGACAGAAATAAAACAAAAGTATATTCTGGTAAAGTTTCAGTTGGTTTTTTATCCCATTTCTGGATTTTGTCTCCAGCTTGTCCTCCTAACAGGGGAGGGACATGGACACTCCTGTCCCTGAGAGAAAGACTTAGGGCATCTCTTGGTAAGGGGAGAGGGGGAGTTTAAGCAAGAATTGTTCTAAGGGCATTTAGAAGCCTGCTGATTTAACATTGTGATGTTAGAAGGGCTGGAAATGCCCTCTGGAGAAAGTGTTCTAGGGACAGTTCTGCATAAAAATGTGATGTGAGCTTGTCTATTTCATGTGTGGGGGATTGTGGGCAAAGGCAGGGAACAAAATGGGGGTGAGTTGCCAAATAGAAAACCAGTTTATCTGTAAACAACCTGCCAAACCACAATAAAAAGCTTTGAACAATAGTCTTTTATTTTAAAAGGTCCTAGTATTTTCCCCACATAGTTTTGAAAGCCCACTTGTGTTGAATTTACTCATACACCTTTCTTAAGTGACGGTTGTAACGGGATTTTTCTCAGTTCTGGCCACTAGAAGAAACGTCCTAGGTGCAAACTCAAAGACAGGACCTCCTTGGGACTGAAAACATAGGGTGCACTGTAGAGCTGAGGGCTCTGGTAGCTCTGGAATGGTGTCTCTTGGGTCATCTAAATGGACTCTGAGTCCTGTGGGATCCCGTGGGTGGAAATCCCTGACTGGTGCCATCAGGAGACAACATACTACGTGCCCTTCAGAGAGAGAACGTGGGACAAAGTTTCCTCCTGAAGCTCCCAGGCTCTGGATGGCAAAGCCCTAAGTATGTGTGTTGCACAAAGGGCAACTTCCTCAAAGGGCCAGGCTGCAGGAGGCTCCAGTTCCTGCCTGGTGCTATGTGTGCGGGAACTTCCTTTTCACAGTGGCTGTTCGGTGTGCTCACTTGCTAGGACTCATCAGCTGGAAAAGAGGGTAGAGTTAGCATTAGTATGATGGTCAGGACTGCAAGCATTGGCACCTGATGACAGAAGACCACTTGTTTCTTAAGGTCCCTGTAGGGCAGTGGTTCTCAACCTTCCTAATGCTGCTACCCTTTAATACAGTTCCTCATGTTGTGGTGACCCCAACCTTAAAATTATTTT